TGAATTGAGCTAACCGAATCCCTTAAAAATCACAAGAATGCATAGATTTTCGGTAGGAATTTTGATAGTATTTTCCGAAATTTTTGGCTTAAATATAGTCTGCTCTGATTGAAGAGAGTCTTGCTGGCCAAGAGGAATCTGCTGGTGGACGTCTTCTGGTGGGATCCAGTGTGGAATTTCTTCCTCATTTGCACAAACATTCACGAGTGACGCGATCCCACTCGATTGTCACCAGTTCCATGCGCAAAAGTGATCGGTTTGATGAAAACTACCGTTTCTTGTATAGTTCGTCGCAAGGGGCGAAGTGGTGGCGATACGTAAACTGTGAAAAGGGTATGAATCATATGCTTTTGATGGGTCGGACTGTCGGATGAGATGATGCAGGATTGGGCGACGAGCTTGCCCATCGAGACGACTCCCTACCTTCCCAAAATAGAGCGTCCCTAAGGAAGTTGTTCCACGTTGTCGTATCGTCAGGGCCGTCTAGAGGATGGCACCTTGTCTGGAGCCCATAGTGTGCATGTTGCTTTGCAGAATCGCACCGTCGAGTTGGTACATTCGCAGACGCTGCCGTTCTTAGCATCACAACACAAGTAAAGATGATCCTCTGGTTGATTGGCACCTGATGGCATGTATTCGTTTATCACATATCCCCAAATCACATCTTCACTATCCCAATTTCTTGCTTGCTCATTTAGACCTACTTCGCGTGGGCCCTTTTGAGTGGATTTCTTCATTCTGTAACTTACTTCCATGTCGAGTGAAAGTGTTTGGTGAAGAGATTCCGAGTTCGGTCGGTTCCACCAGAAGACGACGGCGGATTCCGCTTGACCAGCTGTCGATTGGCTTTACTGGAACATTCGTGCTGGCGCTGTTTCCGAGGCAATCTCCTTCGATTTCGGTGAAGAGGTGCTAAGCTTTCGTGCGTCACATGACGACATTATCAAAGCAATGTAACATCGTCACAACAAAATTCAAGCTTAAGAGTCAAGAAAACTCACCGGAAAATGCCTAAAAAGTGGTATATACACTCTACATCTGTCCTCTTTGATCAAGCATAAAGTGATTTGATTAGTTACGGTCATATGTCAACTTCGATGCATGTGAGTGTGTCTGTCTCTGTATGTGTATGTGCCTGTTTATGTTGGATTATGCACGAAACCCAAAGTCATGGCTCAAAGTAATTAGGACAGCAAAAAGGAATGTCTTTTTTGACCATCAAGTTTTGAGTGCCACTATCTTCTCCTTTCTACAAACATGTTATAAACATCACTCCGATTGCGCAAGGTTTTGTTGATGAGCGTCAGATTATAGAAAGATCCAACTACCGGTCGTCAATATCCTCAAACGAAATATTCTGAACCCATCTCATTGTCTACTGTTAGCCAACTTTTTCTATTCTCCGCCGCACCACTTGTGCTTTCATTCATCTCCTGTCTTATTCCCCGGTCTGTGGATGTAAAAACCTTTAAATGTGACAATTGTTCTACCAGTTTTGATTAGGCTCACTGTAGACATCTCCATTTGATGTCCGAGTGTACCTCGACGGCCGCCTCCCTACACTTCCTTTTTTATCGTATTCAAAAAATACTCCTTGATCTAGTCGTCTTCTTTTTGCTGATCATGCTGTTCCTTGATCTCCTCCAAGTTTGCTCATGTCATGTGCAACGTTTTCGCTGATCCTGCCTCCTTCAAGTTTCATGTGCATTCGATTTCTTTCAGTCAAACTATCGAGGAATATATGAAGACCAAGATGTTGTGGCCAATGGTATGGTCACATTCTCCTTTCGATTTATACAAGCGGGTTGACCCCTTTATAGCAACTTGGTCTTGTTGTCATGGCGACTGTGTAGAACATCAAGAATAACTAAGAGATCTTTCTCTTTAATACTCTGTTGATCTATTAAACTGGCAAATTCATATTAATTCTTCACTGAATATTTCCAATATTCATTCAATATCCTCAGTTGTAAACATAATAAACGTGAGATCATATGCATTGTTATTATTAAAGGAACTCCTTCCTTGTGTATTTTTGGAAGGCCGTAAGCCGAAGGTGCCCTAGCATCCCTCTGGAGAAGTGAATTCATTTTCCACTTCTTCATTTCTCCTCCGCTTACACAAATTTTAAGCGATTCCCTAAGTCTGGTTTTAAGACTTTCTGTGGGATCCTTCAGAAAAAGTCTGTAAGTTTCTGAGTCATTTAAATGAAAAATCATTTTTATATATATAACTTATCATATCCATGTTGACCTCTGCACCACTTTACCTGGCTTTAAAACAAGCAGATCATTTTGGTACAAATAGCCAGAAACTTTATTCAAGTCAAACGATTTATTTAGAACAATTATTCATCAAAATGAGGAATCAATTCTCTTTCTATACTATTCTTATCCTCTTCTGGCAGCTTGTCCGTTAAGTTAATTAACTCAAACAGCATATCCTTTCAATGATCTTGCTCATTTGGAAAAGTAAAGTTTAAACTCTTAGCCGAGTAGTTAGTGTGTCAAGCTCCCATCCTGCACTGTCGCGGTTCGACTCCCGCTGAGGGTGTTGATAAGACCAATGCGAGGTTGAAACTATAGTCCACTCCAGCGGAAATGAGAACAACTTTTGGGAAAGCAAGGCTATGTAAAATTGAATTGAAATGTCAGCTCAACTCATATGATTGTGGGAAAATTCTACTACCATTCCTTCATCGCCTTAAATGAAATTGGGTGAATGCATCTCATACTACTGATTTACTGGTAGTCTCGAAACTCTACTCTAATACGAAAATAAAATAAGTAATATTTAATGAATTCACCCAATTTCGTTTAAGCTGATGAAGGACTGGTAGAAGAAGAATTTTCCCACAATCACATGAGTTGAGCTGACAGAGCCTTGCTTTCCCAAATGTTGTTCTTATTCCCGCTGAAGTGGACTGTAGTTTCGAGCTCGCATTGGTCTTATCAACACCCCCAGCGGGACTCGAACCGTGACAGTTCAGAATGGGAGCTTGACACGTTAACCACTCGACCAGATTGCCACACGTGCCCTTGGGTCACAGGGTAGATGTGAATTTTAAGGAAGGCCAGGCATTTCGACATCTCGAAAATCTACTCAAACACTAAAATAAGTAGTCAGGAGCGCAGCCGGCCACCTTTTTTGTAGTCGTGGTCTGTTGGAGCCTCGTGAAACATGCAGTCTGCTCTGGTGCTTTTTCGTATTTACGCAGAGTTTCGAGACTACCAGAAACTCACTTTTCTTAAATGTATTCCTCCCATTTAGGTTGACGCAATGAAGGACTGGTGGTCGACTTTGCCCACAATCATATCAGCAGAGCTGACGTTGACAGTGAATGCCACAAAGCTTTGATTCCAGCCCGCAAAGGGTCTTACCGACAACCCCAGCGGGAGTCGAACCATGTCAGTTGACGCCTATAGGCTCGACACGTTGCTCACTGCGCCACATGACCAGGAGTCCCCTTGGGCCACAGGGCGGATGTGAATTTCAGGCAAGGCTAGCTCTTATCGCGTATCACATTAGTTGTTTGGATTGTGGATGAAAAAAACGTATTTTCGCTATAACTATCGAATATATTACTTATTGAAGTGGGTTGATTTCGTTGTCAGGGCGACTGTGTAGAACGCACCTAGTCCGACGTCGTCTGCCAAAGTAGTTGTCATGATTCCCAGCATCTGTCAGTGGACTTGGTACATTCTCAAACGTTTCGCCGGCATCGTGGTCGGCATCATCCGCACCAAGATACGAAATCGTCAAACAGACAAGTGAACCCAATCCCTCGACAAACGTTCTGCCGAAAAACGGTTACACTATCACTCCTCTTTCTGTCATTGTCTATCTATCTACTTTTTACCCTCTTCTCCCACTGCCGCCCTATCAGAACTTCGTCAAAATGTGTGCTCTTCTGTGGCAAACCGAGTGTGGTCTCAGTGGGATAAAAGGTTAAAGAGTAGATAGATAGACAATGACAGAAAGAGGGGTGATAGTGTAACCGTTTTTCGGCAAAACTTTTGTCGAGGGATTGGGTTCACTTGTCTCTTTGACGATTTCGTATCTTGGTGCGGACGATGCTGACTACGATGCCGGCGAAACGTTTTGAGAATGTACCAAGTCGACTGTCTGATGCTGGGAATCCTGACAACTACTTTGGCAGACGACTTCGGACTCGGTGCGTTCTGCTAAGTCGGCCTGACAACAGGACCAACTTGCGACAACGAGATCAAACCACCTCTATAAAT